GAGATAACTTGATTTTGAAATTCCTTGAAACTTGCCAGAATAGAAGTGGTTTGATATTTTTGGAAATTCGATCGTTTTGTCCGAGGTCCTCGGCTATATTAGTCATGATACTTCCCAACGTTGGGCGGTGGGTCTGGTTCATCCTCAGTCGTTTCGCCGACATCTTCAGTAATTCTTGCCGCTCCTTGTGTTTTTACCGTATGAGGTCCTTCCTTCTGTTGCCTCCCAAATTATTTCGTTCCAGGTCTGTTCAATATGTTCCGCCATTTTCTTGCAGTCTTTGATTTTTCTTGATTCCTGATTTTTATCTCTATTCTGTCAACATGTTTATGTTTTCAGACGACGCATGCCATGCAGTAACCTTCCGAGCAATCCATTTTGCCTATCTTTTCATATTACGTGGGTAAACTTGTCAAGACTTTTGTCTTTTTCTTCGTCGTCACATTAATATTCCATTTTATTTACTTTAGACGTAGTTTTTCAGTTAGTTTGTAGAAAAGTAGGCATATCCACCTTTGTGAGTCTTTCTCCATCCTTACTGTTCTTTCATAATCCCAGTCCTGACATCGGCTTTACACGAGCCCATGTTGCTTTGTGTTACTTCGCTGGATTAACCGTTGTCGAGAAAGGTCAGATTCAATTTGCCTGATTCTTCATCCTAGAATTTCTTGTCCATTGATCTTAGGCTTCTGTTCATCAGGATACTTATTATTCAAATCTTTAGCTTGAGTTTTATTTCGGCATATTACTTCTTTCTGAAAATTTCTCTCTTGAATGTCCCATTTGAGCGAGTGACTTAGACACCCAGGAAATGTAACTGCTCCTCTTCCTCTACTTCCACTAAACATTTGCTTAATTAATCTTTCTGGTTTATAAACTTCAGGAAATTCCCTTCCAATACGTTCAGTGATAGGTTTTCCAAATGATGTAAGAGTGGTGATCCAGCAGGAAGTTCAAATATTTGTTCATAGATGTTGCCTATGAATGTTAAGTAGATAGTCCTTATTATCAAATTTATTAGATGAGTTAACGACTTCAGATCCTCTCTTCTTTCAGGATATCCTCTTCTCGATCCAAGATCTTCAGCAAGTTAGATAGCTCCTTTTCTCCATACATATTTGCATATATATACTGTACTGTACTATACCAAAAATTAAAGGTATGAAGACCAAGATGGTGTAGTCGCAGACTCCTTTCGATGTATAGAAGTTGTTTAACCTTGTTTTCGCAACTTCCTCATATTGGTAGGAAGACTTAGAGTAACGCACCTTGTCAGGAGTCCATTGTGTGCAGGATCATTTCCAAACTCGAACAATGGACGTGGTACATTCCCAGACAATATGACAGACTTTGATCAACATTCCCAGCACAAGGGTAAAGGGGGTGAGAACAACAGCGTGGAATGTGAAGGGTTTTGATGAATGCCGCTCAAAGGAGCACACCACACTATATCGAAATAAGCACAATGAAAAAAAATTTTGACAGTAAAAGCGTGATAGGGGGATTTAGGAAATGTGAATAGCCCATGACAGAAGGAGAGATACCACAACTGTTTAGCACACGTTTGGTCGAAGGATCGGCCTCACTTGTCTCCTTGACGAGTTGTGTGATACTAAGAATGGCGAGACTTAATGATGATGCCGACTACGATGCCGGCGAAACGTCTGGGAATGTACCGCGTCCACGGCCCGAGTTTGGAAATGTGCATGCATACAATGGACTCCTGACTAGGTGCGTACCTCTAACTCCTTTTACCCATATGACCAAGTTGCGAAAGCAATGTCAAACAACTTCTACCAATAATTATGTACATGCCAGTGGCATGATTTTTATTCTATGCCAAAATTTATATCGATGTCTCACTGTTTGATAACATTTCGTTTAGCCTCTTGAATTTCAAATATGAATTTTGCCGTTGTATGTGTTATCTTTACCTATTGTTGACTATCAGTCTTAGTTGTTCCCCTACTTTGGTTATCTTCGTTTATCTTTAGGCTTTTGGTTGTCTTGCATTCTTTCTTATGATTGAATTTTTCATCCATGCCTTAATTTCGCCGTTATAATGCATATCTTTCAGCATGCAACGTAAGGTCTAACTATTTTTCATAGTCGAGTCTTTCTTCAGTACTTGATACGAGGTCCTGTCTCAGTATACTTTCCACCTTCTTGGTGTATTGTTTCCTGTCCATTATCATTGTCGCTCCTTTATCCAACTGAAGACTAATTGTTTATTCATTATTCAATTAAATGCTATTTCTTTTTTGTTTGATTTAATTTTTTGCATAACTTCTTCATTCTTTTTGCTTTGAAATTACGAATAGCAAATAATTTTTTGCGCGTAATTATTTCTTACTTATTTTTATTTAATTTATTTATGTCTATTTTATTGATACAATTTGCTAGACTGCATTGTGTGGTCGTGGAATAGGAGCAGATATAGTGCCGGGGCTTGATGGAGAACTTCAACTCCATCTTAATCCCTTGGATCCCGATGATTTTTTCTCCAAAAACAATTCTTCCTCTGGCTCCACTACATTTTCACAGGCAACAAGTCATATTCGCAAGCCTCATGGTTCGAGGACACTTCTGGATCGCGAATTAAGTGACGATCCGGATATTCTAAGATGTGTCAGTGATCACCCCCTTCAGTCTTCCGTTACTACTACCACTCCGGCATCATCATCTAGTGCATTCGAAAGTTATGGCCCTGATACGATGCACCAGTTTTCTACTCTTCCTCCCCAAGATCGTATCGATTGGTACCTCGAGAGTCTAGGAGAATTAGAAGTTGGGGTCGGTGACGTCGAGGGTCACGTTGGAGGAGGCCGTCAGGGCTTGTTTAGTCAAGCCCAATTTCTAGGACAAGTTGAGTAAGTTACTAAGTTAGTCAACTTTATATCTATCATTTTATCTATTTTTATTCGCATTCTAATTTTTTTTACCATTCCTGAGGTTCATATATATGTCCAAAAATCGAGCATTTTCTTATACCCGACTATCTTTGATAACAGTTACTTCATTTTTATTTTCCGGAAAGAATTATGTTATGGAGAGAACATGTTCTAATTCCTTACTTTTGTCAATATAAAGTTATAAGTTACATTACTTTTAGTTACCTTATACATTTTTCGACATGAGATCATGAAATTTTGTATCATTAATGCTTTAAATATTGCTTGTTAGATGATTGAAGAATATAGAACAGGATCTCAGACATGACTGATAAAAAGCTTAATATGAAATTATTTAATTATGATATTTAAGTGTAAGTTAAACAAATATGGTATTTCTAACCTAACAGGACCTATGAATTTAATAATTGACGCCAATATGGTTGTGAATTGTCCATGTACTTTTCTTCTATAAATACTCTTTTAAAAAAAATTTTCCAGAATAGATGGATATTGATGAAGGATGTATAACAGGTTGTACATTACCTTCCAAGAATTTTCAAAATAATCGAATGTTTAATCGGAGAAAAGCCTATTCCATACAGTTTGTATCATTCGATCTACAAAAAAGTAACATAATAATTATATATGACCTTTAAATGGAATGACTAAATCGCTCTACAATAGATCAATGAGCTACAACATTAGCATACTTGGAAATAGGAAAATCCCTTTTGTACTAATAAAGGGCCGAGCTTAGAGGATTAAAGGATTGATGAAGGACATGCTGAAAGTCATCTACGAATGGATAAGGAATATCACCATTTGTCTACATCATTTGGATTATTATTATTATCGACTGATTTTTTTATTAAATTTATGAGGACTACCAACAGTAGATTAAATACAGGCCTTGGTTTTTGCAATGAATTTAATTTCATTATGTCAAGAGGCCTTTCTCACCCAAAATATATTGCAATTTAGAACTCGTCTGAAGTCAGTACCCCGAGCAGGTTTCGAATTGTGGTTTTATCGGTAAAGAAACCTAAATGGCCCTTAATTTATATGAAAAACAAGACAAATTAAATCAGCACTTGTGGACATTTTTGTTTTGAGAGGCGTTTCTGTATTAGTTATTTAATCGCTCTCATTCTAATGAAAAGATAGTTAAAATTGGTATCCACGACAGCAACAAATTTCTTCTGTTGTAAAACAGCTGTTACTAGAGTTACCAAATGGAACGACATAGGCTGATTGCTAGCACGGAAGAGTGCACAAACTTGCGAAATTTTTTTTCCATAAATTAATATAGTAAGGCAGCTATTATTACTTTTGGATAATAGAAGATACATTAGATTAGAAAACTATTACAGATTACTTAATCTAATTTATAGTATATACTTAGCTTTGCCATGCAACAGTTCAAACGAATATAAAGTTTGCCAAAGGTTTATTCACC